TGAGAGCAGATACTTACCAAATTATCATTTTTTTACACATCTCTAATTTTTCTCACTTTTTCTAATCAAAAGTAAAGAAAGCGATGAATAGATAGTTTGGTTGAGGAATAGCAGCTTTCCTCCTCCTTGGGGTAGAGAGTGGAGTCTCGCCACATCTGTACACAGTGAGGAAAGGGATTATTCTATCTTTTCTTCTTTGTTTCCGAAATAAGAACCCGAGATTTTGAACACCGCCCAAAAGCCCAGGGTAGCTGATGGAGTAGCTTATGACGGGTCGGTCGCCACGTGAAAGGGGATTCTGTTCTATACGCGCACGTGTATGACGGAGTCTTTTTTTGGGACATGGCACCTGAATTGAGTGGTCTTTTTTAATGCATTATTTTGATGCAGTTCAGCAAAAAAAGAAGAAAAATCCCACCCCTCCTTTTCCCCCTTCCTTTCCCTTTTCCCCTCCCCCCATTTCAAGTTTTTATTCTATAGGAGAAATTTATATTTTTGTCACTCCCCTCTCATCAAGGTGCCGGTTAGATACTTTTTTTATGTTACAAAGTCCACTGTAGATCTCTAGATCTGTAAAGATTTTTTTACATATACATATATACAGTATATATAATATATATATATTTTTTATCATTATTTACTTTTAATATGGTTATTTGTCTTCTAATTGACCATCATGAAGTGAAAAAAATTAAGCTCCTTTCAATTGCAAATGTCGAGAATATTTGGCTTATATGTGTACAGCAAAGTAATGCTTTAGTTCTGATGTAAACAAACTTATATTTCATACCTCCTCGTAACTCAATATTTATGATGGTAATTACCTAGTGCACTACTGTAATTGTGTTAAGGCTATATTATGTGGAATCTCTACAAAAAAATGATAATAAAAAATGAGAAAAAGAAGAAGAAAAAAAAAGAGAGAGAAAGAGAGGTGGTAAAGCCCTCTCTGATAATGTCTATTATCGGAGAGGGTGGGAAACTTGGATAAAGTAATTCTACATCTTTTCTCCATATGTCTGTACGTACACATGTAAGTGTTGCCGTACGTACGTACACGTGTAAGTGTCGCTGCTTGCCTTCAGTAAGCTGTTGTCGAAATTTTCTAGGCAAGGTTTCTTTAACACATACTTCCGCTCATATTTTTTTATTTTTTATTTATTTATTTTTTTTACTCTTTTGTTTCCTCTTTTTATTCCTTCCCGTGTGTCGGTCGGCCAGCAGCTTTTGAGTCTTTGCACAGGATGTCATGTTCCAGCTTAGGGTTGGCACGAATACGAGTGCTGACGGAACCAACCATCTGCCAACAAGTCAACCGACGCGGTGTTAGCAAAGCCTGTTGGCACGTGGTGGGGATAAGCTGTCTCTTTTTTTTCTTCTCTCTCAATGGTGTTCTAAGATAAAGGGCAGTTAAGATAAAGTAACAAACACTTCTTTCAAACAAAATAAGATAAAATACATGATAATGTCTTGGGGGATTTTTAAAAATATATCATTCAGAGCAATTGCTGCAGTTTACAAGACAACTTGACTTCTAAACTAAACTCCATATATAAATATACATATATAAATACATACATATGAAAATTGCGTACCTCTTCTTTGCCATATCCTGTTTGTTTCTCGATTAGCCATTCCTCATTTATGATATACTTGATCGTGTATCCGAGCTAACGATTTCCTCTGCATTCCCCTTGTTTTCCTCCATTCTATGTTCTATGGTATATATGCTATAGTTTGTTGTTTAATCATAGAGGAGCAGTACATAAAAGCTACTTTCCCTTGCCACTCACAGCATATACCTAGATATATATTGAAGCATGTACATAAAGAGTGGTGCAGGGTTCGTGTCGTATCATAGAGTTGTATCATTTTATACTACCAGACTTTTTCTGTAGTTACAGTTGCTCTTCATGACGCAGGATTTTCCCAGGAGTTATTTTTGATTTTGAAGTTTTCTTTTCTGGTTTTAAGGTCTTTTTTTTGAATTTGTTTTCTTTTCTTTTTTTCTCTTTTTTTTCTTCCCTCCCCCCTTTTTTGCATATATTTCTTTTTTTTTCTCGCTTTCTGTCTCCCTTTTATTATTGCCTACTTTTTAATTGTTCACCTCTATATATCTTTCTATATAGTGCCATTGTAAAAAAAAAAACAAAGCAAATCTACTTTGTTTTCCCTTTTGTTCATTTTTGTTATTATCATCACCTTTTATTTTTTGTCTAATTTTAAAAGAACTGGATATTTTATCTGCTAATTATAAGTGTTATATATTTTTTTTTTTCTTTTTTTCAATATTTTTTTTATAGCATTCTGATAAGTGTCTAGTTCATGGGTCACAAATTGTTACATTCCCGTTTGCATTGTCTTGCGTTGCTCATCGCTGAGGAGAAAACCGTCATTGTAGAACTTACTTGCTAGGCTGTAAAATGGAGTCACAATTAGTTCTAGTAAGTAATGATATTTACTGTGAATGAGAGTAAGTGCTTCTTCTTTGTGGAAGTCAAGTGTGCAACAAAAAAATAATAATAATAAAACAAAAAAACCCGACATGTAGCTATTGCTACCAGGTGTTTTCGAGTGTCAGGCTGCGTCCCCTGTAAGGTGGGAGGGTTTCTGGGTTTTGTTTTTTTTTTACAGTTATTATTAACTTTAAGATCCAATTTGGTCATTAATTCAGCATTCTGTGTAGGGTTCCATTATACCCAAGAAATGTGCATATTTTAGGGGTGGCAGGTTTGCGGCATTTGTCCGAAAAAAAGCAAAAAAAAAAAAAAAAGAAAACTTGGCAGTCTCTGAAATATGACTTGAACTAAACTTTTTCTTGATTAATGGTTAAGAATAGGATAACAAAATTATTAATTGGTAAAAAGAAAATGCTAAAAAAAAAAAAAAAAAAAGCCTAAATTTAATTCCCTCACAAGGACTCTCCTTTCATGCTGTGGACACTGTCTTTAGTGTTCTTTAACCACTGTAGCTTAAAGAGTCTGTATGTCTCACACAATAGCAGGTTAAGTGATATTGTCTTGCTCTCATCTCCCTTGGCGAAATGTAGCACAGGTCGTCGTACCGCACTATAGTGTTCTGGCAGCTATTTTTAATGTGTTCTTCATGGTAATGAGGACTCGAGATGATTTTAAATGATACTATGATAATGATAAAGATAAGAAAAGGTAAAAAAAAATGTAAGCGTTTTTGAAATCAAATTGTATCTCGCATAGTCACAAGACATAAGGCCTCGGGAGTTGGGATTATATACTTGATCTGAAGTAAATGTACCAAAAAAATGGTAAATGTTGTTTTTCTCTCATACCTTAGATTTTTTGGGTCATGATTTTTTACAATTTTATGAACCATTTCTATTTCTATTTTTGTTTTTTGAGATTTTGTGATTTTGGATTTACATTTTAAAGAATTCATAAAATAATTATAAAGCAAGATATTAATAATACATATAACAGCTATTATGATTCATTGTGCAGTTACCTAAATGCTTGCTTTTAAAATTAAAAAAAAGGTTGAACATTAAGGCAACATTCAATATGTTTGCAAGTTTTGACACATTGCAAACAAAATAAATTATAGAGCCTTGATGCCACTACAAATAGGAGAAACTTGATCTTTTATTTTATTTTTTTTTATTATTATTATCTCTTTTACTAATGTCAGTCCTCATCTTGCTGTCTTTTAAGAAAAAAAAGGATTCTGGCTAAGTTTTAGTAACATTTCCACTGTTTCTACAACATCTAGGCTTTTTTTTGTCAAGACCTAAGATATTACATATCTTTTTTTTCTATAAAGAAACTTTCCCACATTATGTATATGGATAAGCATTACCGCATAACATTTGAAGGTTTGATATCAGTTCATTGATGTTTTGTTAAAATCATCTTATATGAAGATAGAGAAGAAACTTAATCCTATCCTACAAAAACGAGTGATCTGTCTTGGTAATGAAGCACTACTGGAGAGAACCACAGTGTAATAACAGAACAAAAGGATAAAGAAAGAGAACTAAGTATGATCCTGCCATAATTTATTAGATTCATAATCTATTTTAGTTGTAAAATGTCATGCATATTAAACTTTTTAAAAATCTGAAAAGGCTTCTAGTGCCTCTACACACAAAGTATTGAATTGCCGGCCGACCAATTCCCGCTGGGGGAGGTGGCAGTGAGACGCACCTTCAGAGATTGACATTGGTTAGACGCTATCGGACAACAGGACACAATACACTCAATTCGTTTTTAGAGAGAAGCTGTTCTTGGAAGAGAGAAGAGAAGTGGAAAAGAAGGAAGGAAGTTTTTTTGGGTCATGATTTTTTACAATTTTATGAACCATTTCTATTTCTATTTTTGTTTTTTTGAGATTTTGTGATTTTGGATTTACATTTTAAAGAATTCATAAAATAATTATAAAGCAAGATATTAATAATACATATAACAGCTATTATGATTCATTGTGCAGTTACCTAAATGCTTGCTTTTAAAATTAAAAAAAAGGTTGAACATTAAGGCAACATTCAATATGTTTGCAAGTTTTGACACATTGCAAACAAAATAAATTATAGAGCCTTGATGCCACTACAAATAGGAGAAACTTGATCTTTTTATTTTATTTTTTTTTTATTATTATTATCTTTTTTACTAATGTCAGTCCTCATCTTGCTGTCTTTTAAGAAAAAAAAGGATTCTGGCTAAGTTTTAGTAACATTTCCACTGTTTCTGCAACATCTAGGCTTTTTTTTGTCAAGACCTAAGATATTACATATCTTTTTTTTCTATAAAGAAACTTTCCCACATTATGTATATGGATAAGCATTACCGCATAACATTTGAAGGTTTGATATCAGTTCATTGATGTTTTGTTAAAATCATCTTATATGAAGATAGAGAAGAAACTTAATCCTATCCTACAAAAACGAGTGATCTGTCTTGGTAATGAAGCACTACTGGAGAGAACCACAGTGTAATAACAGAACAAAAGGATAAAGAAAGAGAACTAAGTATGATCCTGCCATAATTTATTAGATTCATAATCTATTTTAGTTGTAAAATGTCATGCATATTAAACTTTTTAAAAATCTGAAAAGGCTTCTAGTGCCTCTACACACAAAGTATTGAATTGCCGGCCGACCAATTCCCGCTGGGGGAGGTGGCAGTGAGACGCACCTTCAGAGATTGACATTGGTTAGACGCTATCGGACAACAGGACACAATACACTCAATTCGTTTTTAGAGAGAAGCTGTTCTTGGAAGAGAGAAGAGAAGTGGAAAAGAAGGAAGGAAGAATGATGATGATGCATACTTCTATAATCAGAAAAAAAACAAACATGAAAAGTAATAGATTCGATGTCATGATTTGATTTCTCTTCTTTTGGGAATGAGCTACTTCGCTTGTCATATTTGAAGAATAAGTAAATAATGATAAAGATGTATGAAATACAAAGGATATTTCGATTACCTTCTTTTAACCGACCATTGTTCTTGCCACACAAGAAGAAAAAAACACATTCCAAATAATGTAATAAAATGGAACAAATAATTCCAATAAAATGGCAGAAATAACCAAGTTCTGGAGAATTGCAACAGCTATCACGGTCTGCCTTGCCTTGGTCCCATGGATGCTGTTGCAGAACCTATGAAGGACACCTGCGTGATTCTTAGGGTGTTCTGTTCGAGCATGCATCCTTGTATTACACTCGGTATACTCTTTGTTTTATCAATTTCTCACATTACCTAAATTTCTCTTCCATTTTAATATGCTCAGGCGTGTCTGTTTAGCATTTTTATTACTGCAAATAAGGGAAGAAGGGAGTTTTATTTTTGTTTCCAAATACAGTAAATGTAGCAGAATGCATATGATAAAAAGACTAATGCTATTTAAAAGTTACAATATCTGCACTCAATATGAAGCTGCCACACGGTGGAGAACAAAGCAGACATTTGCTTATACTAAAAAAATGTAATACGCATTCGCATCGTCGTTCATATAACCAGTTCATATTCACAACAACAAAACGAAGAAGCATTTATACTCTCTACTTACAAATCTAAAATAAAAATTTGAGTCATTTATTACATATCCTAGAGAGAAAAAGATGGAGAAATAAAGACTAAGGCAAAGTGAGAAACCTAAAAAAAAAAATCAGAACGAAGGGGACGAAGGCTACGAGAGTTCCGACAACATGATGTGAAGTTCCTCATTCAGCCGCTTGTGTCGTCTCTTCTCCACGTCGAACATCTCCTCGCACCGCTCCACCTGCGCCTTCAGCACGTAGTTGTCCTTCTTCATGGCGTTCATGCACAGCTCGTGCTTCCTCGTCCGATCCTGCAGGCAGGATATTCTGCTCTCGAATTCGTTCTCCTCGTTGTCGCTCTCACTCTCCTCCTCTTCGCTGTCGCTCCATTCCGGCTCCACGAGTTGCGATAAGTCCACCATCTCCTCTTCTTCCCTCTCTTCTCCGCGGTTGTTCTTCTTCTTTCTCTTCTTCAGCTTCTTTGGCTTCTGGTTGGGCTCGTCGAACCACCAGCCGGCGTTGTCTTCGTGGTCTGCTGGCGGCGCTCCCTCCTCCTCCTCCTCCTCCTCCTCTTCCTCGTCGTCCTCCTCTGACTCTGGCTCGCTCTCGACGCCTTCCTTCATTGCCTTCGCCATCTCGTCGATTTCCGCCTTGATCTTCATGTAGCCTTCTCTCTCGGCCTGGATGTCGCGGAAGTATTTCTTTATTCTTTCCCTCAGGCTGTTCCTCTCCTTGCGAATGTTCGTCTCGCGGTCCTTCATGTGTTCCAGCTTGTTCTGCCACAGCTTCAGGTCTCTGTCCTTCTTCTTCTGTGCATTCTCGGCTCTTCTCTCCGCTGCCGTTTCTTCGTCGACCTCCTCTCCTTCCTCTTCTGCTTCCTCTTCCTCCTCCTCTTCTTCCTCTTCTTCCTCCTCCTCTTCCTCTTCTTCCTCTTCCTCGTCTTCCTCATCTTCGTCCTCGTCCTCCTCCTCATCTTCCTCCTTGAAGCTCTCCATCCTGTGGACGGAGGACGCAAAGCTCCTTCGCGAGCCTGACTTGGACGGCACGGGGAAGGCCGCGGCATCGTCCGCGTCGTCGTCGTCGTCGTCCACGGGGGACGACGGCGGCGCCTCCACGAAGTCCACGGGGTCCGTCTGCGTGCCGATGGTGTCGATGTCCGGCAGTTCGATGTTGTGCTCCTTCTGCAAGGCCTTGTACTTCTTCTCGTAGTAATTGCCTCGCAGCTCCCACTCATCCGCGCTGTTCTCGGAGACGATGAGCTTCTGCGTGACCTCGTCGTACCGCGTGAGGTAATCCTCAGCTTGCTTCTTGTGGAAGTCGACCTCCCGCTTCAGGTTGTTGATCTCTGTCTCCAGTGTGTCCAGCTCGGTGAAGTCGAGGTCGTCCTCGCGCATGCGCAACTTGCTCATGGATTTCTCGAGCTTGGGCACGATTTCCTCCGCCTCGCTGCTCTTCAGGGGCTTCGGCTCCACCGCGCCCGCCTCCTTCAGCTGACGCTTCAGCTTCTTCACCTCCGCTTGCAAGCTCTCGATGTCGATCTTTAAAATCTTGTTTTCGCGCTCGATCTTCTTCCTTTGCTTGATCTCATCAGCGAGTTGGCTCTTGGTGGCCTGGAGGTCGTCCCTCATGGTGTCGATGTCCTCCTCTTCGTCGGAGGACGACGGCATCGCCTCCATCGGGTCCTTCACCTCCTCCATGGTCCGCTGCCGACGCAGCTTCTTGAGGCCTGGGCGGGAAAGGGCCATGAAGGTCTTGCAAAGTGCCTCTCTCTCTCTCTCTCTCTCTCTCTCTCTCTCTCTCTCTCTCTCTCTCTCTCTCTCTCTCTCTCTCTCTCTCTCTCTCTCTCCTCTCTCTCCCTCTCTCTCCCTCTCTCTCCCTCTCTCTCCCGCTCTCTCCCTCTCTCTCCCTCTCCCTCTCTCTCCCTCTCTCTCCCTCTCTCTCCCTCTCCTCTCCCTCTCTCTCCCTCTCTCTCCCTCTCTCTCCCTCTCTCTCCCTCTCCCTCTCCCTCTCCCTCTCTCTTCTCCCTCTCTCTTCTCCCTCTCTCTCCCTCTCCCTCTCCCCCTCCCCCTCTCTCTCTCCCTCTCTCTCTCTCTCTCTCTCTCTCTCTCTCTCTCTCTCTCTCTCTCTCTCTCTCTCTCTCTCTCTCTCCCCCTCTCTCTCCCCTCCCACTCATCCTCATTCTCATTCTCCCTCTCCCCTATCCTCATTTGCTCATCTTCCCCTCCCCTTGTGCTCATCCTCCTATTCTCCCTCTCCTCTCTCTCCCTCCCCCCTCCCCCCTCTCCCCCCTCTCCCCCTCTCCCCCCAGCCCTGCCGACCCTAGTAGAGCAGTCCTCACCTAGAGCTTTGAAATCCGGTCTGCTTCTGTCGTCCGTCCTGGCCTTCCGGAGTCTGACGCCCCTGTGGATCTCCCGCAGGAGTTCGTTGTGGGCGAGGGGCTTCTCCGACTCGTACACGAACTGCCGGTGGAGAGAGGGAGTGAGCGAGAAAGTGAGGGACGGAGGGAGGTAGGGAGTGAGTGAATAAATGAGTGAGATCGTGAGGGAATTAATGAATGAGTGAGTGAGAGAAAGAGAAAGAGAGAGAGAGAGAGAGAGAGAGTGTGTGTGTGTGTGTGTGTGTGTGTGTGTGTGTGTGTGTGTGTGCGTGTGCGTGTGCATGTGCGTGTGCGTGTGTGTGTGTGAATGAGTGAGTGAGTGAGAGAGTGAGAGTGAGCGAGCGAGCGAGCGAGCGAGTGAGTGAGGAAACAAACTTAAAACATTAATAAATATCATCACAACGAGGAAAATACGCATTGCAATTTTTAACAACTACAACGAAATAAAGGTCAATATCACAAGAAAATAGTAACGCAATATCATATTCTAAAATTCTCAGTAAAAAATAAAATCACCGCTAAAAACATTATCTCTGTAAAATATTGAATAACACTTTAACAAAAAATATAATCTAACTCATCAAATAATAATAATAATAATAATAATAATAATTATAATAACAGTAATAATAATGATAATAACAGCAACAATAGCAATAATGATAACGGTAATAATAATAATAAATGAATGAACTAATCTTGACGCACCTTTCCTCCTTTGCCGCGGGACGAAGGCAAAATGGGCTTGGACCTGTCAGTCTTCTCGAAGGGAGACAAGTGCTTGAGTTTCACGCCGCCCTGCAAGACAAAACGATGAATAAATAAATGCATGGATAAACAGATAGATTAAATGTAGATGTGCGTGTTTTGGTGATGGTCTGTGCACCTGGAATGCACCTGAATCAACACATTTCTGTTCGCTTTAAAAGTCTAATTGATTTTTTTCCGAATGCTTTCATAGTACGACTATAATTTCGGTCAACACGCATCGGGTATCTTAAAAAATCAACACATTCACCAAAACTCACAAGCGAGGAATCCCTAACCTCCTTACCAACAACATTTCCATCTCAAAATCCAAGTCCCTCACCTCAATATTCTTCAGCAAGGTGTTCCAATCCGGCCTGGTCCTCGCCGCCCGCTTGATTTGGTCCAGTTTGAACTTCTTGGCCTCCGAGATCTTCTTCTCGCCGGGAACCATTCCGGGCATCGGTGGGGGCGGAGGTGGGGGCATACCGGGCATGGGCGGGGGAGGAGGGGGGACGCCGGGCATTGGGGGAGCTTCGGGTATTGCTGGACTCTGTTATATTTGGAGGAAAGAGAGAAAGGGAGAGAGAGAGAGAGAGAAGAGAGAGAGAGAGAGAGAGAGAGAGAGAGAGAGCGAGAGAGAGAGAGAGAGAGACAGAGAGAGACAGAGAGACGGAGAGATATGAGTTAGCGCATCAGCAACAACGGTGGTTTGATATTTATATATATTCATATTCATTCTCCTTTTAATTTATTTGAAAAAATACTGGTCATTTTTATTCTTCCTCTCTCTGGTGCACTTTTTCTCCCATATAGTAAATACTTTTGATGGTGTATCAAAACACAAAACTAATTCATAATTGATGTTATCATCATTCCTTGTAGAACCGACTAGTTCTTTATCATTAATAATACTCATCAGTCTAAACTTTGGCACATGGCTATTTCTCGGCTGAGGAAACCAGCTTCTTGGGTCAAAAATTAAATGAGTCGACTTTCTTCTCTGACAAAATACCATGAGACAAAAGGCGATCAAGCCCTACCTTGTCGGTGGTACCATCTTGGTCCCACCATAAAGAATTCTCGTCCTTTTCATCCTGTAAGTAAAGTTACTAAAAAAAAGGATCCAACAGCATCTTTTGGGTTAGTTGTTGGATAATGGGTTCACGTTTTGAGACACCCTTGGGGGAAAATCGGGATTCTAACCGTAACCAACACCTTATTCTGTGTTTTTTGGTTCTTGGAGAGAAATCCGATTATCGTAGGTTAGGAACAGCAATTGGCTTTTGAAATTTGTGAGAGTTATGCAGTAGCGTAATGTTGATAGTTTTTTTGTTAACTCAGTTATCGCAAACCGTTTCAGAAGATTACGTAATTTTGCCTTTTGCATTTAGGTCAAGAATGATAAATTTCATAAGAAACAAACGCATAATTTTTGATGCGTGGCTGACGATAATTAATTTAATGTATTCATTTAATCATAATTTAGATTCTTCTGTAAAGTAAGTAGCGTTAAATAACACATAAATATTCATAAACAAATATAATCATAAATTAATAGCTGTTAGATGACATTTTTCCTCATCTGGAAAATAATCATATGCATAATTGGTCATCCGCAAAACTTGTTACATTGTCAACATATTTACTTTTCTTGCAACAATAAGCGAAATATGAAGTGGTATCCATGCTCTGTGTAACATTCGAGAGTTTACCTTGTCAGTGAAAGCAAGTACATGCAAGATGTAGCGCCCGGAGTACATGCAGCATGCGGTGTTTTGTTTTTGTTTTTCACTTTGGGCTTACTTTTTTAGGGGGAGCTGGTGGTGGTGGGGGTGCAGTCGCCTTCTGTAAGGACATTATGATATCACTGTTATTATTTTTTATTATTCAGTGAGAATTGTACCTGTGAGGCGCGCGTAAAGAAAACGGGAACCAAGGGACATCCATGGCGGAAAACACATGCATTTTTCCATAAGGGTTTCACATCCACATTTCCATGATATTCGGAAACATGCAGCGGCTTCGTGCTTCTTTGGTGGTCGAGGATTCTCACAAATTCATAAAAAAAAACAAATCCAGTGGAAGAATGCAGAAAAAGAATGAGAATTCGGCGACTCAGGAGTACAACCGACCGCCTGTGACAAGAAGGGAAAAAGGCATGTTTTAAGAAATAAAAGGGAATTCATCAAATATGTTTCCGGAAGACCTGTGGTTCACGTGCAGGACAGTCTGGAGTATGCTGGCGCTGTGGCAGAGGGGAGAAATTGAGCGACAGGAAAGATAAACCGAGAGGGAGAAAGATAAGGACTGAGACAGCGAAAGAAATTTTGTTTTAGAAGAAGACACGGGTATACGCATACAGATAATAGGATTCTTTTTTATTTGAGGGGGGGGGGGTAGGCGGGGCAGGGGACGAGGGGGCACTCAACACCGCCACATACCGTTGGCTCTGACGCATCGGCCGCCGCCCACCACGGGGTAGCATGTCGCGCCTGGTGACACCGAAACAATATATCACTTACAGCAAGGAGAAAAAAGGGGAAATGATATTGAGCACGTAATATGACCCAACATGGTAAGACAACACTAGAAGAGAGGGGCGGGTTTTTCCACGTCTCTCACCTTTTCCCTCAACTTGGTGATGCTAACTGTGCAGGGCTCAGCTCGCTGTGGAAAGAGAGGCATTAGCTATGGTTGAGTCAGAAAACTTTTTATTTTACATCTTTACGATGATCGCTGATAATACAGTTTTTCCCAGAGAGTTAATTTCAGAAATAAATCAAATATCTCTGTGTGTATGTATGCACGCAAGCATGCACGCGTACACACACACGCACACGCGCAATCACACAAATGCAATTCGCTGGGGACAGGCTTAATCATCCCACATACAGTGCACAACAATACATCCCGAACGAGAGAAAGGACCCCAGGAAATAAATCTGATTGCACCAAGCAAGAAGGGAAGGCAAACTCGCCCCAGAAACTCGCTTGAATATGCAATGAGGTATCATGGAAGGCACCGGGGGAGGGGGGGGGTGCACGCAGGGACCTGAGAAGAGATAACTGGGGGGGGAACTGAATTTGCAATCTGACGTGGAAGGAAAAAGGAAAAGAGAGAGAGAGAGAGAGAGAGAGAGAGAGAGAGAGAGAGAGAGAGAGAGAGAGAGAGAGAGCGAGAGAGAGAGAGAGAGAGGGAGAGAGAGAGAGAGAGAGAGAGAGAGAGAGAGAGAGAGAGAGAGAGAGAGAGAGAGAGAGAGAGAGAGAGAGAGAGAGAGAGAGAGAGAGAGAGGCAGAAAGAGAAATAGAAACCCAAGGAGAATATAAAAATAAAAAACGTTGAATGGCAGAAAAATAAGGGTCCAGAATAAATAACTGGAAAGAAAGCGAGACAGGAAAAAAAAATCCAAATAGAAAGAATAAAAACAGACAATAAAAATCACCACGAAAGAGACCAAACACGCATAGAAAAAGAAGAAAAGAAAAAATCCAGAACAGTTAAAGAAAGCAAAAAAAAAAAAAAAAAAAAAAAGCATTTAAAGAGCGCGAGATTGCAAACTACGGAGGGAAGGGAAACGAAAGTAAACACTCTTCTCAAACAAGTGTTACCGTGTCCCATTTTTTCCACCATTCTTCATTTGCCTCGTTGTTGCCCTGGAAGAAGGTTACTACGTTTACTACGTGTGGTTACTACTCAGGATGAAAGAACGAAGTACTCTACGTGTTGCTAAAATGATGGAAAAAAAACACAAATAAGTTTATGAGGCTACTCAGGCTACGCTGAAAGGTCACACAATGGCGTTCCACGTAGCACAGTCATGCTTTAAATTATTCTTTTTTACTATCCTTGTCAAAAGTGGTAGAGAAAAAGAGTATAAAAGAATGTAATAAGTTTGAAAATTAGGACAGGGGTTGAAAAGTAATCATGAACGCCTCTTTGCCTAAAATATTGGATGCGGAAAACCATTAAAAAACAAAATTCAACCAGACAACTCAAAAAAAAAAAAGAACAAATGAAATATCTCAAAAGAAATTTTATTTTTGAGATCGTCATTTCTTCGTTGATGCAACTTCTTTACTCTCCTCTTAAAATCCAGTGCTGCTGCCTTACCATATTTTCAACGATGTCCTTTTTGAAAACTGGGGAACCAACTGGACTCCAATCCTGGAATTTGTGAAGACCATATAACGCAGGGAATTTTTTTTTATATGAGTAGAAGCAAATTAGAATAAAATGAGAAACTAAAAAATAAGAAATCAAATAGAGGGGTGTATATTTTTTTAAAACTCTTCAGATGTTAAATTAGTTTAGCATAATATAGCTGCGGTAAGGAGTTTATTTGAGCAAATAAGCAAATAAAGATGTAAGTAAATAATTAAATAAACAACTTTGAACAGCAAGGAAAACAACTTGAAAAAAGAGAAAATATCAAATACGAATGGGGGAAAAGGGAGAGATGATGATGATGATTTTAAGATAACGAAGTAAAGAAAATAAGAAAAAAACACTGATGGAAGATTTTTAAAAAAATAAATAAAACGACACAACGGTATTAAATCGTAAAAAAAAGCAAATAAAACAATTCTCACCCTTGTAGAAAACGGGAAAAGAGGGCGAGAGAAAACTTGATGAAAACGTACTTGGGAGGGAAAAAGCTTTAAAAAAAACAGCACTCAAAAAAGAAAAGAAGAATAAAAAGAGCACACAGGCTGAAAGAAAAAATGGAAATGGATGAAATGGATGAAATATAAACAACAAAGGAAGCTCACCCTTGTCATTTCCCGCTTCTCCCACCATGGAAGGTCGTCCTGCCAAGATGAAATAATGTTGAAAAGAAAGAAAAGACAGTGATGACAAAAATGATGGTGAGTGGCAAGCGGTGATAAACGTAAATCGCGACAGATCGTGATGATGAAATGCTTAAATTAAGATGCAGAAATGAGAAACCGTATGGAAAGATAATAACTGTATCACATTCATGAAATTCAAATATGAATAATAAGAAAGGCAATAATGGTAACAGTACTGCTAAAATGATATAGATAAATCAACAAATTAAACTGGGAAATAATAAAGGAAAAGAATTTAATACAACTTTCGAGTATCGTTTTCCTTTGAGCAAATTCTGTTTAGTAATTACTACGAACGTATAATACATTTCCGTCTTTTTTTAACATTTTAATTTTTTCAGTTCCCGTCTGTTGCGTGTTTTCACATTTTTCTGATGCCAGACAAAAGGTGATCAGACATATTTTTTCCGTTTTCTTTTATTCGCCTGTTAATTTCCTTTTCTTTTATTCCAATTTTAGTTTTTACCACTTTCTCCTTGATTTGGATTCTTAGAAAGACTAACATTGTTAAAGAAGAAAAATGAATAATAATCCGGTTAATTTTATAAAGAAATAATCTACACATTAAGCAAAACAAGAAAATGAGAAAAGGGGGGAAGAGTAGAAGATCAAGAGAGAGAGAGAGAGAGAGAGAGAGAGAGAGAGAGAGAGAGAGAGAGAGAGAGAGAGAGAGAGAGAGAAAGAGAGAGAGAGAGAGAGAGTGAGTGTGAGAGAGAGAGTGAGTGTGAGTGTGAGTGAGAGAAAGAGAAAGAGTGTGTGTGAGAGTGTGAGAGAGAGAGAGAAAGAGAGACAGAGAGAGAGAGGAACCAAAAATACAAAGACAAGCACCTTATCTTGGTCATCCTCTTCCTTGGCCTTCAAGATCTTTGGGTCTGGCTATAAGGCAAAGAAAAAGAAGAAAACAGAATTGTTAATACCAAATAATATGAAAACTTCGACTATCAAAAAAAAAAAAAAAAAAATCTAGATTAAAATGCAATCAAAAATCGACTCTGTTGTTAATGGAGAACTACATTGCTACTTGAATAAGAATAAAGGGATTTCTACATTAAACTACAAAAAGAACATTATTTAGGATCTACTGGAACAAGAACAAAGAGAAAGAAACAATCAATTTAATAATAACAAGTCATCTATTTCGTCGATAGATAAAGTCATCTCTAGACTGATTTGCAATTTGACAGCAACTGAGAGAAAAAAAAATGAAGAAAACCACCTGGACGGGTTCGATAGACCGTTGCCACAGCATTATCTCGTCCTGAAATACAGATATAAACTCTTGAAGTCTGGAGAGATGGGTCGATAGGCCTATTCACATAGAATAAGTCCTTAAATGTCGTGTGGTTTGATTTTCTTTACTACTAAATAGTAATACTGTCTCTTTGAAAGTCTCTTGTCTTGCACTATACGGAGTTAATGTAAAATGGAAGGTGACTACAAGCAGCTATATTATTTGAAATTACTACTGTTACTATCTAAGAAATATGCAGCACTAAGAATAGCAGCGGAAGCAAAATGGAGTGTAAAGAACACAGAAAATAAAAGATAGATTAATAACAATGAGGTAATGTGGTTGTCAATAGCTTACGTCAATTTTCATCTAGAAACATTATTGAGAAATAATGAAGGATGAATAGTAATAAAAAAGAAAAGAAAATAGGCAGAACCTCAATGAAAAATTGAAATAGAATTTTTTAAAAAATCAATAATCAAAAACGAAAAACAAAATACAAAAAGTGAAAAAAATGAAACACATAAAGAACTCTCAAATAAATATCATTGATAAATGAACATACTGGGAAAAGAACAAAAAATAAGAAACTACAAAAAGAGAAAATGGTAAACAGAAAAAAGAAAACAATAGATAAATAGATTCACAAATAAAAAACAACAACAATAAAAACAGATGGGGTGACGATTAAAATGAAAAAAAGTAATAAAGAAAAGAAATTACTAATGAATAAGGATAATAATAACCTTTTGCTGATCGTCATGCTCCTTTTCCCACCACATTCCCGAGTCATTCTGCAAAGCGAAGTGGAATTAAAGGCGATGGCATTAGTAAAAGCTATTCTGTCTCTTTTAAAAAGGTGTTACTGGATCATAAGGATGATAAAAAATAAATAAAAAAAATACTATATGTTATTTCTATCATTTTGCTATGGCTTTAAGAGAGAAACACGTTATACACAAAAGATGATTCAATGAAACGTGAGGATTTCGAAACAGTGGGATCTCATTTTTCAGAAAATCTTCTTTTGTGTTTTGTGTATGCATCGCTAATGGATTAATAAGCAAATCATAATAACTATTATTTCTACTGGATTGGAAAGTTAAACTATATATTGGCTATAAATGAAAAAACAAAATTAGCAGAAAATATTAATCTAAAAATAAGGTTTGTCGTCTGTTAAAAAGTCAATGAATGTTACTTAAACTCTTCAAACTGTAATAATAATAAAGGTATCAAATGATAATAATAATAGTAATGATAATAATAATAATAATAATTAAAATAAATACAGATAACAAAAGGACAAATCAAAACCACCTGAACGGGCTCCTTAACAGCCGGCCGTTCCCACCATGGGACCTCCTCCCCCTGAAACAAAAGATTTTTTTTTTTTTTCGGGGAAAGCAGGAAGGAAGGGAAAAGCAATTGCACTGCCTAAGATGTCATTTAAAATAGGCCTATGCGCGTGGATTGATATTCTATATACATATGAAAATAAAATGTCATAATTTAACGTTTCTTTGAGTCTCCGAATCTATGTCTGTCTGTCTTTTGTTTAGTATTTTATTTGGGACGTTGATGGTAGGAAGTCGCTATTCTAACTAATTAATGTTATGACAAAAAATAAATAAAAATCAGTCTGTCATATCCATTCTTTTTTACTGAAGGTTTCAAGTAAAAAAAAAAAATCTAAAAAAAAACAGTGACAAAAAGCATCGACCTCACTGACATAATATGATTCTTTTTTCATCTTAAAAACCTTTCCTCTAAATAATTATGACTTAATTGCTTGAACAACACGTAACAAAAAAGCACCTGTTCTACTTCGTCTTCATTTCGCTGCTGTTCCCACCACACTGAACCCGAATCCTGGAATGCATTAGGGAGTAATATGTAAAATAAATAAATAAATAAATAAATATATAAATGTACAAATAAGTATTAAGGGCTTAGAGTGTTTGTTTGTTTGTTTTTGTTTCTTGCGGATGATGATGTTTATGGGAATTTTTTTTTTCAATCGTGGTTTTGTGATGTTGATTGGATTATGATTTCGTTTGTACTGATGTTGCTGCGGTTTGTGTTTGTTTGTTTCTGTCGTTGTTGTGGGTTGTTTTGTGTTGCATTATAATTATAAGCTAAGCCAGGCAGTGACTAAAAATGCAGGTAACATATGTTAAACAAATAGCAAAACTAAATACTGAATGGAATTTAGAATAATACTAACAAAAAAATACAGTTTTACGGAACTAAAAAGAACAAAAAATTAAATGAATTAATAAATAAAAGGAATTTCATTACACTAGTGGAACTAAACTCAAGAGATCTTTGATTTTTTTTTTTCAAATAGTCACCTTTACCATTACTGTCATTATCATCTTTGTCGTTATTATCATCATTATAATAATAATTATCAGTGTTGTTATTATGATTATTGTTATCAAGTACACAATCGTATAATCATCATTACTGTTGCGTTTCATTTAATAATTAGTTTGGGTTTCAGTGCATAACCACCATCGTTATCATTATCGTTATCCTTTTCAATTTATCATCGTTATCATTTTATTATTTTTCGTCATTATCAAAATAATTACCAATCATATCAACTTGCTTTATATATATCATCTGATCTATCTCTACGCAATTTTAATCTTTATTTTTTAATCTTATCAACTGCTCCATTAATACAAAACATTTATAATTTTTTTTGAAAGACTTTTAAGAACATTTCGAGCACCTGGTTCGTATCCTCCTCTTCTGTCTGTTCCCACCATGGCAGTTCTCGTTCCTGTAATATATTTCGATTTTTTATCTTTTAGAATATTTCTCTTTCAGTCCAATAAACTCTTGGTTTGTTCCTAAGGTATTAATGTTTGGAGGATTCGTTAAAAATAGGACTAAATAGGTAAAGTGGATGGGTTGGTTTAGGCAAAGATATAAATACTGTATTTTGGATGATTAAATACGCTATCAAAAAAGGGAAAAATACAGCTACGGTAAAATCAAATATAAACTTAGAAATCACAAAAAATATGGTAAAAACTTAGATACTAAAGCAACAAACCAAATAGATTAAAACAAATATAAGAATAAAAACTAAACTAAAATCAAAGAGAAACCTTGAACTAATAAGACATAAGAAAAAAATACAGGGACAAGGGAAAGCGGGCACCTTCTCATCGGCGGCAGAAGAAGATGCGACGGTGTTAGTGTCGTCTTCATTTTCCCGCCAAGTGTCATTCTGGAAACACAGGGACCGCGGGTTTAGTTTTTTTTTTTTTTTTTTTTAAATATTAGAGATAAAGTAATAAGCGTAAAAAGAATGCAAATAAAAAAACTAAAAAGATAATAAGCGTATATAAAATAAGGGGATAATGATAATAGCGAATAAGATTTGATTAAATAAATTGTTGCAACTAAAAAAGAAAATGAAAATTAAAGAGAGAAAGAAAAATATTGAATTCATTCTGGAAATTTAAAGACAGCTTGGTTCATTTAGACACACTAACAATGTAAAAATAACCATAATTAATAAAATAACAAAAAAAATACACGAAAAAAAGGATACATTAGATTATGACGGATATGCTCTTATCTTGAATGGAAGAAAATAAATGCATTTAATTGTTAAAAAAGCATTGGTCAAGAACGATATATTCTTACACTGCATAACAATAAGAAACAACAACAAAAATAAACAAAGCTGAAAATAACAAAGTTGAAGTTATGGAATATTCTCGAAACACATTACGCTGGTTGAATAGGGAAGGTAAAAAAAAGTGTTTTAATTCATACATGCTGCTGTATGTTGGTGTTCCTTCTGTATCTTAAGAGTGAGCATGCTTTGTATATGGTCGAAAATGAGTGTTGTTGAATGTGGCGTATTGAATAAAGCGGTAAATATAGTCGGTTTCGGGTTTTCAGTCGTACGAACCAGTCTGTGGCATCGTTTGGGTTTTCTTCACGACCGGGGAGAGGGAGGTGGAAGGAGGGGGGAAGAAAGAAAGAGAGAGAAAGAGAAAGAGAGAGAGAGAGAGAGAGAGAGAGAGAGAGAGAGAGAGAGAGAGAGAGAGAGAGAGAGAGAGAGAGAGAGAGAGAGAGAAAGGGAAAGAGAAAGAGAGAAGGGAAAGAAAAAGAAAGAAAGAAAGAAGAGAGAGAGAGAGAGAGAGAGAGAGAGAGAGAGAGAGAGAGAGAGAGAGAGAGAGAGAGAGAGAGAGAGAGAGAGAGAGAGAGAGAGAGAGAGAGAGAGAGAGAGAGAGAGACCGAGAGAGAGAGAGAGAGAGAGAGACCGAGAGAGAAAGAGAGAGAGACCGCGAGAGAGACGGAGAGAGAGAGAGAGAGAGAGAGAGAGAGAGAGAGAGAGAGAGAGAGAGAGAGAGAGAGAGAGAGAGAGGGAGAGAGATACAGAGAACCTGAATACACCGTGCGTTTCAGGAGAATAAATTCCTCATGCTGCCTCAAAGAAAGACAGGCCTTACATATGTACGCATGTAAGAGACCAGAAAAAAAACTGACGGAGGGAAGACAGACAAAAAAAAGCACGTCATTGTCCGATACCGGCAGTGGGGTAATAATGTCCTCCTTCTCGTTTTCCTCAATGGCATCTTCATTCATTTTCCCTTCCTCTCCTTCTTCGCCTTGTCCATGGCCTTCTTCGTTACATTCGCTATCTTTCCCGTCCATCTGAAAGCACGGGAGATGAAGGCGAGGCAAGCAACTCACCTCCTCCCGCTCGCAAAGGCGCAGGTCAGAATCTATTCTTATCTTTCGTTTGCTAAAATAACAGCAGATGCTCTAAGCAGCCAAAGATAAGCTAGGGAACTGATTAGGCACAGGGTATAAAGCTAGAATTTTTTTGCATTCAGTGGAAAATATGTTTTAAACACAATATCTAAATCTTCAATAAAAAAAAGTCTTTTTATAAAGCATCTATCAGAAGCCTTATCTCGAGGGGGTTGTAAGTCAGGGCAAAATTCGATAAGCAGGTCGAAGGCCGGAGACTGACATGCAAAGCGGACTTCCTCCGACGAGGGTAACCTTCGTGGGAGAGGGTGGAGGGAAAAAGGTGTTCTTGGACTTTTGTCTAGATAAATCGCTGCGGAAATGGTTGAAGCGACAAAATAGGGACTGTCTTTAGGCTCTAAAAAATGGGTATTTTTTCCATCAGCTCAGTAACACGTGGTAAAGCTCAAGCAGAGGCATCCGGGTGGGTGGACGAAAGTTAGGTTCCTGAGGAGGTTGCGGCGAGGGAGCAAAGGGGCCGAGGGCATCCAGCATGCCTTACCACGGACTGCTTGTCCTCCTTCTCCTCTTTCAAGTTCGACTCGAAGCTCGGGTAGTCGATGGTTTTCGTCAAGAGGGAATCGGGTTCGCGGTTCAGGACCTCCTGCTTCCGAACTTGCTGCGGCTCCGGTTCGATGTCGATCTGGAGTGTGGTGATCACGCCGGCGCTCGTGTCCTTCGGGCCTCCGTCCTCGTTCCTGGCGTCCTCCGCGCTGTTCTGGACGCCCTCCTGCTCCTCCTCCTTGTCCCCGAATCCAGCCTTGTAGAGCTCTTGGACGAAGCGGGACCTCCTCCGAGGAGGCGAACTGGTCCTTTCCTCCTCTGCAGGAGCCTCCGTCTTCTCCTCCCCCTTGTAGAGCTCTTGGACGAAGCGGGACCTCCTCCGAGGAGACGAACTAATAGTTTCCTCCTCTGCAGGAGCCTCCGTCTTCCCCTCCCCCTTGTAGAGCTCTTGGACGAAGCGGGACCTCCTCCGAGGAGACGAACTGATAGTTTCCTCCTCTGCAGGAGCCTCCGTCTTCCCCTCCCCCTTGTAGAGCTCTTGGACGAAGCGGGACCTCCGAGGAGGAGGCGAGATGGTCCTTTCCTCCTCTGCAGGAGCCTCCGTCTTCTCCTCCGCCGCGTCTTGGGCTTTAATCGGCTCTTTCGCCGGCGCAGGGGCTTCTCTCGGCTCCTTGGGCTTTTCCTCGGCAGGCGGGAAATTCGATCCCAGGGCGTCCTGTAATTTGGCCTCCGGAGGCGAGGCTGTGGCGGCCTGCGGAGGCGGCTGCTCTGGCTGCTTGGATGAGCCAGGCTGCAAGAAATCGCCTCGTTAAGCGGGAGCGAAAGGGAGAGTCAGGCAACAGGGTGCGAGGAAGGGCGGCGCTCCTGGATGGCTTTCGTTTCTTCTACGGCAGGAGTCACTTCGGTGTGTTTTTGTCATTGCTCTTAGATGAAAAAAGGCTTTTGGATCCCCTATACCCTCGCCCATTTAGAATTAGAGGAAACGATGAATAAAAAAAGGAAATTGAGGATAATAGTTAATGAGAGAAATAATACCGAATGATGTGGATGGAATCGAAAAAAATGAGTTCCATGACAGGCGAACTTCATGAAAACTAAAAGATAAAACTGAAGAATGAGGAAGAGGCATGAATCGAATAAAGAAAGAGGAAGAAATCAAATATTTAGTGATCTTCCAAAGCCTGTTATGAAATAAGTGGAGATATTATTCTTAGCAATATCAATTTCGATAATAGCTTTCAGTCAAATAATATTTAAAAAAAAAAAGAAAGAAAAAATGTCAGCATAACTCAAAGAAATTAAATATTTTTAAAAAGCTACCTTGGAAGATGTTATGCTGTGCCATTAGAAAATAAATATGTTTATGAATAATATAACCTTAAACGTTAATTTGCTTGCTTTCACAACCCACCTGTGCATTTGCCTGGCGTGTTCTGGGCGCTGCCTGTTCTGCAACCTGAAAAAAGTTTAAATGTCAGATATTATCTTGTGTTATTTCTACCTTGGTCTTGTAAATGTGTAATGTGTACATGAACCAAAAAAAAACAAAGCACAACCTTAACAAGATTTTATCTTAATAAATGATACTAAAGACACAGAACAGAACATCCCCATATAAAATATTTAAAAAATCAATCATAAATCCTCTTACAAATAATAATGATAATGATGATAAACGAAAACTGACCGGATAGAGATCGACCTGATACTAAGATGATATTAGATTATTACAAAGCGTTTTCCTCACCTCGACTTCGCTCTTCGTCTCATACACTTCTTCGTGAGGAGGAGGTTGAGGCATCTGCAGGTGTGAGTAAAACGGTTAACGAAAAACAACGAAAAATAAATAAACAAAGCACCACGTGAATGAATAAACCAATGGGACTATAATACGAAAAGTAAAAAAAAAGAGAAAGAAAAAAGAAAAAGGAAGTTAATGATATAATTATTCGTTAACTGTAGGCCTATACCCTGTTGTTTTGGTACAGA